GGCTATTTCCATGTCTTGGCTATTATGAATTGGGCTGCAATAAACATTTTGGTGCAAATGTCTTTGTTGTAAAATAATTTTTTGTAATCTTGGTATATACCTGGTAGAGGAATTGCAGGATTGAACAGTAGGTCTACTTTTAGTTCCTTGAGTGTTTTCCAAACTTCTTTCCAAAAAGGTCAGGCGTGGTCTACTGTCCCTAGTGAGGCTAGTGAGCAGAGGCTTACTAGGTGAGGACTGAGACCTGCAGGCGAAATGTGGTGCCCTGACTCTTAACAGAGCCTGCAAACAGAGACTTGCCAGGCAGTAGACTGAGACTGGTAGGCAGTGGCATGGTCCCCTGACTCCAACTGGTCTGGCAACCAAAAGGCTAGCTGTGTATGGACTGAGATCGGAGGGCAAGGCCCAGTACCCTGTCTCCAACAGAGCCTGTGAACAGAGGCCTGCTAGGCAGTGAACTGACTGGCAGGCAGGGGTGTGGTCCCCTGACTCCAGCTGGGCCTGTGAGCAGAGAAGCGGACAAAAGTGTGGACTGAGTCTGGCAGGTGGGAGTGTGGATCCCTGGCTCCAATTGTGCTGTTGGAGACCCTTGAATCCCTCTCTGTTGGGCAGGGTTTGCACTGACTGAGACAATTTGGTTGGAGCCTGTGTCTGGGGCTGTCCACTCAGGGACATTCTGAGGTTGACCTTCAAAGTTTTGTTGTTGTTTGTTGGCAATAGCTTTTTGGGCCTAGAGTAGAGACTGAAATTTTAACCTCTTGAAACGTATTGAGATTTGCTTTATGACCTAGATCCGGGGTTGTCAAATGTTATTTGTAAAAGGCCACATAGTAAATATTTCAGGCTTTGTGGTCCACAAATTGTTGGTCCCAGCTACTCAACTCTGCTGTTACTGTGCCATAGACTATATTTAAGTGAATGAGTATGGCTGTGTTCCAGTAAAACTTTATTTATAAATTGAAATTTAAATTACATGTAATTTTCACATGTCACAAACTATTCTTTGTATTTTTTTCCCACCAAAACTATTCTTTGTATTTTTTCCCAACCATTTAAGAGGTAAAAAAATTATTGGCTTGCAGGCCATACAAAAATAGATGCCAGGTTGTTATTAGGCCCTGCCTGCTGTATTTGTGGATCCTTGGCCTACAGTGTGGTCAATTTTTAAAAAGTATTCTGTGCATGGTTGAAAAGATATGTCTTCTGTAATTCTTTGGAGAAAGTATTTTATATGTATCCACTAGGGTGGGTTTGTTAGTTGTGTTGTTCAAATCCTTTATATTCTTACTATTTTCTGGGAAATATTTCCTTTGAAATACAATGTTAATATAGAAAAGAGCACAAATTGTTAGCATACAGCATGATGGATGTTCTTAGAGTGAACACATTTCTGTAGTGCTACCCTAGACCAAAATACCCCGTGTCATCCCATCCCAAAAGTCTCCATTGTGCTCCATTCCAGTCACTAATCCCCTGGAAAGATGCCACTATCCTGAACTCTGGCACCATTGATCAGTTTTACCTGTTTTTGAACTTTCTGTGAATGGGATGATGTAGTATGAACTTCTTTGCATATGTTTCTTTTATTCACCATTCTACTTGGGTCATTTTCATGAAGGTTCCTGTGGTTATGGTTTGTTCATTGTCATTACTATGTTATATTCTGTTGGGTGGACATTTTGTAAATCTTTGATTCATCCTCCTGCAGATGGACTGAGGGGTTTATGTACTGTTTGGTGAATGTGTATAAATTACCTTTCACTTTCATGGTGAGCAGAATTTCTAATTTATTGATAAAATCTATTTTATTTTCTTTCTTTTATAATTGATGCCTTTTGTAGCTTAAGAAATCCTTGCGGCTCGGCGCCTGTGGCTCAAGCGGCTAAGGCGCCAGCCACATACACCTAAGGTGGCGGGTTCGAATCCCCAG